TCACCATGCCTGGCTATATGTATATTTTGGATGAAATCATACCTTATTGTTTTGACCTTTGTTTCACTTAATGTATAAATTATGATTTAATTGTATGTCTGTACAACCTTTTCTTTAATAAATATATTAAATATAATATCTCATATTTATGAAAACCTACTCTGAAATCCTTTGAGAAGTAAATAATTATATTTCATATATATTCAGTGAGACATTAGTGGACAAAAATCTTGAAGAAGTAGAGAGCCCTGGGGTCTCTGTAGTCTGCTGGTGCTTACAGTGTTACAGGGTTTTGGTGAACAAGGACAGTCTGTCTGAAATCATCTCAGTTCTCATTTCTCTTGAACTTCCAGGCTATTTTGTTACCATTTCCTTCTAAAGTAGAGAATTTCCTTGCACCATGCTAGTGACAAGTTTTTTCGATTTTCCTTCCCTGGGAATGTTTTTATTGTTTATTTTTAATAATTTCTGTTGGTTCCTGGGGAATTTTCACCAGATACAAGATCCTTGTTTGGCGTTCTTTCATTTTAGCTCTGACAAGGAGTGGTTCTGTTCTGGCCTTGCCTTCCCTTCAGGGGTCTCTTCTTGCTGGTGGTTAGGGAGCACATTGGTCTCTCAGTACCCATGTCAGGTCTGACTCTCCTTTTTGGACATCAGTAGTGTGTCTAGCAACCTCTTCCCCTCAGAGGTCCCTCAGTCTGTCTGCATGCTCCTTTCCTCTGTTGCTTACATGGAATGAACTCACTTGATTTCCTTTGAATTTATTAGGTCTGTTTCCTGGCATCTTCATGGTTACCAAGTCCACCCAAGTCTGATTTTTCGGGTGTCATGTTTATAGTTCTGCATATTCCATTTTCTTTATTTTCTTTTTCATAATTCTTTTTTTTCCTGGTAATTTTTTCCCCACTAGTTTTGAGAGAATTTGTAATGGGTTGCTGTAGTCTTTTTGTGATGGCTACCTTAAAAATCTGTTAGCCAACTCTAGCTTCAGACCCATTTCTGTCTTAGCATCTGTTGACTGTTTTCTCTTGTTAAAGTAACAGTTGTGATTTTTGGTATTGTACATAAATTTCATATATCTTGGTTATTTAGTCACTGTCTTAGTTTGTTCTCTATTACTGTGACAAAACACTCTGACCAGTACCAACTTGGGGAGGAAAGGGTTTATTTGTCTTACATCTCCCAGGTCGCACGCAGTTCATCAGGGAGCCCAAGGTAGGAACTCAGGGCAGGAATCTGGAGGCAGGAGCTGGAGCACAGGCCATGGAGGAATGCTGCTTACAGGCTTGCTCTCCTGGCCCCTGCTCAGCCTGCTTTCTTATGCAACACAGGCCCACCTGCCCAAGGGTGGCACCACCCACAGTGGGCTGGGCCCTCCCACATTACTCATCAAGGAGATGCCCCTCAGACATGGCCACAGGCCAGTCCAATAGAGGCAATTTCCCGATTGAGGCTCCCTCAACCCAGGTGTGTCAAGTTGACACTAAAGCTATCTAGCACAGTCACCATATTATGAGAGCTCTGGATAATATTTAGTTCTCACATTTTAAATAGTCCATCTTCTGAGGTAAAGCAGGAAGGCCAGATGAGCCTGCAGACCTGGCTACTGGAATTGGAGCCCTCATTTGTCTGCCTTACCGCACACGTGTAGTGCCGGAGTGCATGTTCTGGATCTTTTCCCTGATGATCCCTTCCTGTGGGGAAAAGGATTAAAAAAATGCCACGTCAGCTTGTCCCATCTCCCTACCTTCCAGCAGGATCTGTTTCTGCTCCTGCTAGGGGGCATGAAGCAGAGGATTGATTCCTGCTGCTCCATTGCTGGGCACTAGAGATGGAAGCTTAGCTCAGCTCTCTGTTTGTTCCCACCAGTAATACCTTGCCAGGGAATGGGCACTGGCTGGCTTTGTGAGTAGGGGATGGAAGATCAGCTCTCCTGCATTTGAAACTGCATAGGAAGGCAGTAATCCCATTGGTTTTGGCTCTCATAGGGCAGGTTTGCTAAAAAGATTTTTTGTAGTTAGCCTATGGTTTTCCTGATCCTCTGTCTGGGGGGAACTAGCTGCTTCTGGGGGGGCATTTTTTGTAGGGGGTCTGTTTGTGGTTAGAGGCTTTGTCAGTACTGGATTCTGGGCACACAGGTAAGAAAACCTAGGCATGCTATTTCTTGACACTGAGGTTTCTAGACTTCTTTCTACATTATAGTCCTCCTATACTTGTTTGCTGCATTATGTGTATGGATTTTAGAAAATTATAAACTTTGTTGGAGATCAGTGTTAATAATTGGACTTATGACATAGAATTAAATTTTAACAGAAAAAGTAATTATTGGAATACCAATATTGATCATACAGAATTCAAAAGCTGGAAGTGGAGGCAGGTCACAAATTACTTGGGATAATCCTAAAGAATTAGAAGGCTATATCCAAAAACTCCAAAATGCCGCTGAACGACTTGCCACTGAAAACAGAAAACTGAGGAAGTGGCACACTACATTTTGTGAAAAGGTAGGTTCTAGTTTTAAAGTTTTCAAATGAGATGCAATAGTGTTGAATAAAGTAATGAGGATATAAATAACAATCTTTCTTTTGTAATTTGAGACTTAGTGTTGAAAACTAACCCAGAGCCTGTGCTCACCCTCACTTCCTCCTCTGCTCTTCCAGCAGCGAATCCCCCACAGCATGGCTGTCCAAATCAGGAAGTGCACTGCTTTTCAACTCTGCAACTCTTTCAGCTATTATTATTATTATTATTATTATTATTATTATTATTATTATTATTTGGTCTTTTTGAGACAGGGCCTCCCTGTAGCCCCAGCTGTCCTGGAACTTACTATGTAGACCAGGCTGGCCTTGAACTCACAGAGATCTGCCTGCCTCTGCCTCCCAAGTGCTGGGATTGAAGGCATGTGCCACCACACCTGCCATATTATTATTATTTTTAATCAGGATGTAATCCAGTCTTTTATTCAGCATTTACTTGTTGAGTTTTTATAAGTCTCCTCAGTTTTTCCTAGTTCTTCATGAACTCGATATCTTTGAGAGAAGACAGATGAGTTATTTTGTGGAATGTGTTTGAGTTTATGTGGTATTTTCCCCCTGCCCTGGTGGCCACATCACTACTTTGCTCTTCTCGGTTCATCAGTCAGGTATTGATATACCATGTGGACTGAGTGGTATTTGGTCATGTGATTAAAGTAGTGCCCTGTTGCTGAACAGTTACTCTTTCCCTAACAATCCTTTGAAACCATTGTGCTTACATTTCAAACAGGTGGTTACTCTTATGAACATTGATCTGCTTCGCCAGCAGCAGCGTTGGAAAGATGGTTTACAAGAATTGAGAACTGGCTTAGCAAGTGTGACGGCCCAGGTAGAGTGGACTTGACTTTGAAATCCAGCTCTTCAGAATGTGGATGCGTAACTTCGTGAAAAGCCTGTAGAACTCTACCATGAATGTCCATTAATAACTGAATCACATGTAAATCCATAAATCACAGTAAATTTGCATTCACAATATAAAGAATAAGTTTTTATTTGTCCTACAGAATGCTAAACCCCCAGTTTAGTGTCATTTCCTGACTTTAGCTTAAGTGTGTATCATTTGTTAATTTTTTTCAGAGATAATAATTTGTAGATTGCAAAGTTAACTTTAGACAGAAGTGTAATGATTGAAATAACTTTGTCAGGATTCTTTTTTCTTGGGGGGGCACAAAATTTCGTTTTGATTTAGGTGATGAAGTGTAAAGAGGGGAGCACATAGCCTCCCACATGGTAGGTGATCGTAGGCTCTTAGCTCAATATGAGTTAGCTGTTTTACATAGATTTCAGTTTTTAGAATTTTAAGAAAAATCGAAAACTGTTAGAATTTATCTACTTGTGCCTGTATGTAAGCAGACAACAAAAATCTCAACAAACAAACAAAAAGTGTCCTGAGAATTTTAATACTTTAAGTTCCTTATGTTTTTAAATATTCACTGGATTATTTAGGGAATAGGAAAGGAAGAATGACAGGTCTTTGTTTGATTGTTTGTTAGTTTGAGAGTTTTGAAAAAGTGCAAAAGAGTTCACAAAACAGACTGTTAATGTTATCAAATTATAAAACCAGATTGAGAGGACTGGAGAGATGACTCAGTGTTTGAGAGCACTGACTGCTGTTAAAGAGGAGTCCCCCTGTCCCCCGTTCAGTTCCCATCACCCACATCATGGCTAACAGCCATCCATGACTCCAGTTCCAGGAGATCTGATGCCATCCTCTGACTTCTGTGTGCATTGTATGATACAGGTGCACTTACACACATGCCAGCAATACACTCATACATAGAAAAAAAAAGCAAGGATGAAGCATAAACTTCATATAATGTTAACTTGAGGTTTTGATTTTAGTGAGATTAGTTTGTGTGAGATTAGTTTCATGTTTAAGGGTGAATAAGCCTTCTTACTAAAAGGGGCAGTTAGGAGTTACATGTTTTAAGATATTTGAAATGATTTTTAAGTTGGTATGGATGCTTTATGTGGCTTGAAAGTAGTAAATGAAAAAACAACTATTCTACCACCTGAGTTTTAAATTACACATACGCATGTGGCACACTAGGGCTTCCAGGCCAGCGACATGCACGCGTGGAAGCAGCACTGGAACCACCAGCTCTACAAAGCCCTGGAGCACCAGTATCAGATGGGCCTCGAGGCGCTGAATGAGAACCTTCCAGAGATAAATGTAGACTTGACTTACAAGTAAGAGGCTTGGAACCCCTATCTAATTTTCTGTTCATAATTTTCTAATGATTTCTATTTTAAGTTAAAATATATAATTAAAGAGATAACACGCCACTTATACTGTCTTTCCAGACAGGGGCGGTTGCAGTTTAGGCCGCCTTTGGAAGAAATCCGAGCTAAATACTACAGAGAAATGAAGAGGTTCATTGGCATTCCTAATCAGTTCAAGGGAGTGGGAGACGCAGGACATGAGTCCATATTCTCTGTTATGATTGATAGAAACGCAAGTGGATTTCTGACTATTTACAGCAAAGCAGAAGACCTGTTTAGAAGATTGTTGGCCGTTTTACATCAACATAAGGTATAGAATGTGTAAATTTCTACCATGTATCATAAATTTCACTTGATTTATTAAGTAGATTTAGACATCAATAATTTCCCTTAGGTAGATTAAAATTAAAATATGATAAACCATTTTGAAAGCTAGATTTATGGATTCTTAAATAATTTAGGCTCATGTTACAAAGGCAAAAAGTGATAGTAAATTTTTGTCTTTATTTTATGAAGATTGAGGGATAATTAAAAAAAAAACATTTACCTTTATGTGTATGAGTGTTTGCCTGCATGTAAGCATGTACACCATTTGCTTGCCTGTTGCCTGCAAAGGCCAGAAGAGGGCATCAGATCTCCTGGAACTGGAATTACAGAGAGTTGTGAACTGCCATGTGGGTGTTGGGAATTGAACCTGGGTCCTCTGCAAGAGCAGCCAGTGCTTCTAAACACTGAACCACGCTTCCAGCTCCAGTTTTACTTTTTCTCTTTTAAATTGCTACATCAGTTTGGAATGTGACATGGTGCTTGCATCAATTTTTAGTTCAACTGAAGAAATATATTATGAGGTAAAGTGCTCAAATGCTTATTTAATTTGGGTGCTGTAAAAGCATGCCAGCAACTGATGTACATTCTGAGGACTCTGTTGCTAGGCAGTGTTGTCTATGTGGGAATGTCTAGAATGTGCTTGTGCAACCCTGAGTGGTAGAGTGAGCTACACATCTGGGGTGTGTGGCTTAACCACTGTCATATGCTATCACTGATTAAAATGTCATTATGACATGGTATGTCAGTGTGACTCCTTTCTGATGAAGTATGTCATACTGGTCTACTCCAGTGACAACTCTCATCTCAGTGCTCGTTTGTGTTGGTCCCCTTGACATATGCCCAGACATTTCTACAGTTCTTCAGTTCTTGTATGTCTGTGGTTTAGATTTCCAGATTATTGGGTAAATCTTGACACTTCTAGATGTGTAGTTTGTTCTGGGTGTTGGTTCTGTAGGAGTGATCCTATCCCTGTATGTTTAAAATATATTTATTTTAATTTGAGAAGATAATCTAAAAAAAGTGTTCATTTTTTTCCTTTAAAAAGTTTATTACTACTATATTTTCATATTAAATCTCTGGGTTGTCCCTCCCTCCCTTCCTTCCTCCTTTTCCTTCTTCCCTTCCTTTCTCTTTTCCTCCCCTCCCTCCCTCCCTCCATCCCTCCCTCCATCCCTCCCTCCCTTCTATCCTTCCTCTTTTGAGGCCCTATCTCACTATATAGCTCAGGTTGTCTTTACATTTACTCTCTAACCTGTGTTGGCCTCAATATAGACCTATAGAATCTATGTGACCCTCTTGCCCTTGCCTCCTAGTGTTGGGTTACAGGTATGTATGCCATGCTTGTTTTAAATTTTTTTTTTTTTTTTTTTTTTTACTGTGTTTCTTTTGGCTATGCAATAATGATTACAATTACTTAAGTAATTTATTTGAATATTCTACATTTTCTTCATTTTGTTGGTTTTAATAGGTGAACACTAATCTTTTGACTATAGTTTATTCTGTTTCTTTAATGTGTTTTTCATTTTAAATAGGAGTGGATTATAATTGGACAAGTTGATATGGAGGCTCTGGTTGAAAAGCATCTTTTTACTGTACAAGACTGGGAGAAAAATTTTAAAGCATTGAAAATAAAAGGGAAAGAAGTTGAACGGCTTCCCAGGTATTGGAGGTTAATGTGGTACTTGTATCCCCCAATAGTTCTGACAAGAATGGTAAGAGTTTTCTCTATAACCTCCCTCTGCTTCCCTGGGCCTGCACGACCTGCAGGCCTCTCTCCGGGGTAAGTCAATGATGCCCTCCATGCCTCGATTCCCCAGCGTCATTAACCCTCCTATCTCCCCCTGCCTGTCTCTCCTCCTAGCCTGGGATCTGTCCCATTCCTTGTCTTTGTACCCCAGACATCAGGGGAACCACCACTGCTTCCTGATCCTTTGCATCCAGACCAACCTAGTGCCTTCTCAGGGCCCCAGGAGCCCTCTGGGCCGGGCTCCGTCCTCACCTCCCTCTGCTTCCCTGGGCTGCACAACCTGCCAGCCTCTTTCCTGGACGCTGGGGCTGACCTTTCCTCTTCCTGATCCTTTGCATCCAGTTCCTCAGTGCAGTCCCTAGGAGCCCTTGGGGCCGCTTCCTGCCCCCAGCTCCCTTTGCATCTCTGGGTGGCACAGCCACCAGCTGCCCTAGACCAGCATCTTTCCTGGGCCTGGCTCCCAGGGCAGTCTAACCCCCAAATTTCTGAGGCCAAAATCTTTCCTGGAGGGACCCAGACCTTAGGAGAAAGCCTGAAAGCATCTGATCCTCATCTGACTTGGGCCTCTGTGGGAACTCCTGAAGACAAAAGCAATCTAGCCACTCTAATATTGTCACGGTGCAGTGACCACAGTCCAAGCCTGAAGGGCCTGGGGACCCCGACGGATAGAAATCAAGACACAGGAGATGCAGAGGACTATGTGCCAGTGCATCTTTATTGTGAACCAAACCAAGCTTATATAGGAATCAGATCTGGAGTAACCAAGGAATAACTAAGGATACATCTCTAAACAGAAAGTAACCAAGGAATAACCAGGGATACATTACATTACTACCAAGAATACATTACTTCACCAACCGAAACTCACATGACATTTACAGTATCCAAGATTCAGCTACATAATATTTATAATATCTTAGATAGAAGGTGTACTGTTTGTGATTATTCTTAGCAACTACTAAAATTCATTATTTCTATATAGAAACCAAGCTATCAGTGCTGAGAAACTCCCGTGCCCATAAACTGAAACAGAACTCTTTAGTTATGTTTCCAAGACTGCCAATTAATCAGGGAAGCATATCCTGTCAACTCAGACCACAGAAGCAGAGAGCAGGGAAACTCCCAGAAAGCATTCTTTCTCCAATGCTTAAGTCAAGGCAAGCTGCCACAGCCTAATGCAGCAATGGCTGTGCCCATAATAATAATGACTCCCAACACAATATAAAATCAAAAGAGAGAACTGTAAGCTTAGAGAAACCAGCTTTTCATGCCCAAAAAGTAAACCACAAAGACACATAAAGTCTACAAAAAGAAGCAGACCTAAACTTGGAAGGCTTGAGTCTCACACAAGAATCAGAAACTACAAAAGAAATCCACA